GGGGCCTGTACCCCCCTCCTGGAGTGCCCGGTGCACCCCAAAAATGCTTGCATTCCCCGCCCCCGCAGTACCCGGTGCCCCCCGAAGGTGTCTGCACCCCCTTCGCACGGTGCCCCAGCGGTGGCTGTACTCCCCTCCTGGGGTGCCCAGTGTACCCCAAAAATGCCTGCTGCACCCCAGGCTGCCCGGCGCACCCCGAAGGTGCCTCTACCCCTTTCCTGGGGTGCCCTGTGCACCCCAAAAATGCCTGTACTGCTCTCCTGGGGTGCCCAGTGCACCCCAAAAGTGGCTGCATCCTCCCAGTGCACCCCTAAGGTGCCTGTACTGCTCTCCTGGGGTGCCCAGTGCACCCCAAAAGTGGCTGCATCCTCCTCCCCAGGGTGCCTTGCGCACCCCAAAAGTGTCTTCATCCCCTCTCCGGATGCCCACTGCACCCCAACGGTGCCTGTACCCCCCTCCTGGGGGGCCCTGGGCACCCCAGAAGTGCCTGAATCCCCGTCCAGGGTTCCTGCTGCACCTCAAATGTGGCTGTACCCCTCTCCTGGAGTGCCCGGTGCACCCCAAAAGTGTCTTCATCCCCCCCCAGGATGCCCACGGAACCCCAAAAGTGCCTGTACCCACCTCCCGGGGGGGGCCAGCAGTGCCTGTACCTCCCCAAAGATGCTTGGTGCACCCCAAAAGAACCTGCACCCCCTCCCCACAATGTCCAGTGCACCCCTGGCACGCCTGTACCCCCTGCTGGAGTGCTCAGTGCACCCCAAAAATGCCTGCACCCCCTCAGGTTGCCCACTGCACCCCAAAAGTGTACTCCCCTCCTGACGTGCCCCATTGGTGCCTGTACCTCTCCAAAGATGCTCGGTGCACCCCAAAGTTGCCTACATTCCCCCCCAGGGTGCCCTGTGCACCCCAAAGTTGCCCACAGGCCCCCCCTGGGGTGCTCTGGAGGTGCCCGCTACACCCCAAGATGCCCACGCCCCTCCAGGAAGTCTGGTGCACCCCAAAAATGCCTTCAACCCCCACCCAGCATGCCCAGTGCACCCCGAAGGTACCCACAGTCCCCCTCCCTGGGTGCCCCAATGGTGCCCGATGCACCCCAAAGCCACCTGCACCCTCCTGCCATGGAGCGCGGTGCACCCCAAAGGTGCCCGTGACCCCCTCAAATGCCTGGTGCACCCCAAAGGGGCACACACCCCCCCCCAAAGCTGCCCAGTGCACCCCCCAGGTTGCCCAGAGCACCCCCAGAGCTGTCCAGAGCACCCCCCAGGTTGCCCAGTGCACCCCAAAGCTGCCCAGTGCACCCCCAAATTGCCCAGTGCACCCCCAAAGCAGCCCAGAGCCCC